GTGGGGACACACAGACACTTTGTGGGGACACACAGACCCTCCGTGGGGACACACAGGCACTCCGTGGGGACACACAGACACTTTGTGGGGACACACAGACCCTCCGTGGGGACACACAGACCCTCCGTGGGGACACACAGACACTCCGTGGGGACACACAGGCACTTTGTGGGGACACACAGACCCTCCATGGGGACACACTGACACTCTGTGGGGACACACAGACACTCAGAGGGACATGCATACGCTTCTTGGGGACAGACAGACACTCCGTGTGGGTGGACAGACACTCCGTGGGGACGAACAGACACTCATGAGGACAGACAAACACTCATAGGGACAGACAGACATTCATGGGAACACACAGACACAGGGACACACAGACATTCATGGGGACACACAGACCCTCATCGGGACAGATACACACCCTGTGGGGGCAGACAGACACTCATAGGGATACACAGACACTTCATGGGGACAGACAGACGCTCCGTGGGGACACATAGACACTTCTTGGGACAGACAGACACTATGGGGGCAGACAGACACTCATAGGGACACAAAGACACTCTATGGGGATGGACAGACACTCCTTGGGAACACACAGACACTCCATAGGGACAGACAGACACTGCATGGGGACAGACAGACACTCCTTGGGTACACACAGACACTCGTGGGAACAGACAGACACTAATAGGGACATACAGACACTCCATGGGGACACACAGACACTCATGGGGACACTTAGATCATCCATGGGGACATTTAGACTGCCCATGGGTTCACACAGGCCATCCATGGGGACACATGGCGTGTCCATGGGAACACACAGGCCATCCATGGGGACATTGAGAATGTCCATGGGGTCGCGCAGGCCATCCATGGGGACACACAAAGCACCCGTGGGGTGACACAAAGTGTGCATGTTGACATCTAGTGCATCCAGAGGGACAAACAGGGACACACTGACTGCCCAGGGGGACTCACAGAGAGTCCACAGTGACCCAGAGATTGCTATAGGCACTCAAAGACTATCCATAGGGCCAGCCCAAGCTCCTGCCACAGGAAATGTGGGATGGGAAGCCAAGCCCCCACCGGCAGGATGGGGAGTGTGAGGTCACTTCTGTGTGCCCCAGGGCGTGAGACACCCTCCATGCAGCACAGCAGGAATGCTGGCTCAGCCCCAGAGCAGGAGCCGCTGTCCCCCACAGCCCTGTCCTGGCACCCAGCCATCCCCAGGGAGCCACAGCCGGAGCTGGAGGGGCTTCTCTCAGTGCCCAGGAGGATGAGCCCTCCCAAAGCTCAGGGGCACATCACAGTCCCGTTACTGGCCTTGAACAGGCACTGCTGGATAAGTCTCTGTGTTACTAGTGTAACCTGGAATTTGTAGTATCTATGGGAAAGGTAAACTCGACGTGGCTGTAGGGGGAAACCTTCCCCAGCACCCCGATTTTGGGATTACTTCTGTGCTTTTAGTAAATGTGCGAGCCAAGTTTTAGCCCCACTGGGCACCTCTACACCCAGAAAAGCCAAACAGCATCTGTTGTGTTCAATCAGTGGAAAAATCCCAGAAGAGAAACCATGCAAGTTTTTGCAGAGCAAACACTCCTCCAGGGCAAACAGCCCTGCATGGTCTGCAGCTCATGGCTAATGATAAGCACTTCTCATGCCATTCTCTTTTGGGGTTTTTTCTCCCACTGCTGTGTAGGTATTGAGCAAGGACCAAAATAAAGGATGTGATCTTGTAGGTTTCCATCCAGAAGAGACTACGATGCTTTGCATGGATCCAAAACCCGTCCCCAACAGAAAGTGAACACAACAACTTTAAAAAAGAACGCACATCCAGAACACGAGACTCAGAACTTATTTTTTAAAATATGTATTTATAGAACTAAGACTACAGCAGGCTCCTTCAGAAGAGTATTTGTATCCTTGGTCTTTCAGAAATAAATAGGATAGCTGGTTCCTTGCCATGTGCACTCTGCACAGCTCACAGTGAGGCAGCAGGGCAGATGTTGGAGCTCATTGTCATCCTCCCCACACAAATAAATCCAGTGAAAACCCCAAGGACTGGTGGGCTGAGGCACATGCTGAAGCCATGCAGATTAAACTTGAAAAACATCATAAAAACAGCAAATCCCGTTGCTCCAGGTTAGTGGCCTGGCACCAGGTTTAGCCAGGTAAACTGTGTGTTTATCCCCATGTCCTGTGTCCCTGTGTCCAGTGAAATAAGGCAGCGAGGAGCAGAGGAGCAGCACTGCACACAGGGACATCAGAGAGACCAGCAGCCCCGAGGCACAAGAGCTTCTGAATCAAAGCCATAATCATATCTATATCTGTGGCAACAACAAGGGCAGGAACTTTCAGGAGAAGTGGTCAGAAAAACAGGTTTCATGGCTCCAGCAGTAGATAGGTTTGTTTCCAGTGGTGCATAGTAAGAACAAGAGGTTAGAGAATCACAGAAGTTAATTAAATCATACAGTCAGAGAATCCCAGGATGGTTTGGGTTGGAAGGGACCTTAAAGACCACCTAGTTCTGATGCCTTTAGGATTTTACCTTTCATATTTTTCAAATATTTGTAATCCTGGAATTCTTTAGTGTATAACCCTAAACTCCATATGGAGTGTTAGCTACTGCTTTCCTATTTTGGTCAGACAAAACAATTCCTCTCTAGGCCTGGGAATCAAGGACTCCTTACTGTCTCAGGCCCTGAGAAACATAAACAAAAGTGAGTTGAAGGGCAGCAAAACTTGGGATAAATGACTTCATTACCTGAAGCTGCAATTGGAAGATTAACCCCCAACATGCAAATGGACCAAACTTACAAAAATGTGAAAACCCATGACCCATTGTCCATATATTGGGGGGCTTTGTCTGCCCAAAATGTACCTGAAGGCCCTTCAATAAATATAACTTTTTATTCCTTTAGTTTCGTCTGGACTCTGTTTTTAGGTAGTCCCAAAAAGGCATCAGTTCCAACTCCCTGCTACGGGCAGGAACACTTTCCACTAGACCAGGTGGCTCCAAGCCCCATCCAGCCTGGTCTCCAGAGCTTACCAGGGGCAACCTGATAAACCTAAAAGCCCACAAGACCCTCATCAGAGAGGTGGCTGGAAGAGTTGAATAAATTCCTTAGAACCTTCCTGGGACTTCCCAGCAGGCTGGATGTGACACAGCCCCTCCCTGGGTAGATGCAAAGCAGCTTCCACTTAAGCCTGGAGCACAGCTACAGCTAAGACAGACACATGGTGCAACTGCTGGTGCCCCTCTAAGTAAGATTTCTGAGAGATATGAGTAAAATTTCACCTAAATGACCTAAAATTTTTACCTAAATTTCACCTACAGTTTAATCCCCACTAATGAAAGACTTTAGGTACAGGCAAGAGCCTTTAGGAACAGGCAAAACCTGAGATCTGGGAGGGATGCACATACCCTGGACACAAGCCAGTGTGCCCAAAGCATCATGCAGCACTCCTCCTTGCACATACAACTTCTTAGTTATACAAAGAGTGGGAGGCCCCAGACTTTCTAGATGGCTACACTTCAGAATAACTTCAAATCAAAACCTTCTTCTGACACAGGTCACCCCTGTGTCTGGTCCTTTTCCTCCTCTGAGTGTGAAGATCCATCCAAGGAGTTTGCTGATCAGAGGCACAGGTTTTTAGTAAGCGCTTTCTGAATGTACAAATAATTATCATAGTCCTCAAATATTCTCTTGAAAAGCAGATTCACTTCAGCTCTGGGTGTCTGGGAATAACTGAAAACACCATCTCTGCCATGCTGGTCAGACCAACAGTGTCTTCTGCCTTCTGGAAAACCTAGAGAACAGGATCAGCAGTGTCTAAACCACAGCTACAGCTCAGATGAATAATGGGAGGGCTGACAGAAGCATCACTTCCAATTAGTCACCTCAAAATGTCATTCCTTAACCAATGGCTTTTTTTCCCCACTGTCCCTCCTCTGTGTAGCTTCATCTCATACTAAATCCTTTCTTACAGAATGCCAGAATGGTTTGGGTTGGAATGGACCATCAGGACCATCTAATTCCATGGGCAGGGACATCTTCTACTATCCCAGATTGCTCCAAGCTCCATCCAAACTGGCCTGGAACATTTCCAGGGATCCAGGGGCAGCCACAGCTTCTCTGGGCATCCTGTGCCAGGGCCTCACCACCCTCTCAGGGAAGAATTTCTCCCCTCTAGCTGATCTAAATCCACCCTCTTTTAGTATAAATCATTCCTCTTTATCATATTACTATATGCCCAGGTAAAAAATTCCTCCCTTTCTTTAAAGCCTCATTTAATCAAAAGTGGGTACTCACTGTGACTGTTAGAAATGTACCAAGCTGTAGCCATCAACTGTGGCATAATCAGGCTCCCCTGAAACACAGAGCACAAAAAATCCCCTCAGGTTTCCCATGAGAAGTGCTCATTATGTGACTTTAAACAGAGCAGAAGCACCACACACTGGCCGTCCGTGTTAAAGTGAGTGAGTGAATGAGGTTCAAGCAAGGCTGGGAGAGCTGGGGGTGTTCACTTGGAGAAGAGAAGGCTCCAAGGAGACCTTAGAGTTCCTTCCAGTGCCTAAAGGGGGTTTAAGGGAGCTGCAAAGGGACTTTGGGCAAGGGCTGAAGTGATAGCTCCCATGTCCAGAAAGCCCATGAAGCAGAAACTCACCTGGTGCACTGGTCGGGGTGGGCAGAGGTCCCCTCCTGCACAGAAGGAAACAAACACAGAGCTGAGGATCTGCATGGCTCAGGGACTCCCTTTGCCCCGGTTCTGCACCCTCCAGCTCCCCCAGAGCTGGTGGGAGGGAAGGAAGTTTGGCCAGTCTGGGCTTTATGGAGACCTGACCAGGCAAGTCACGGTGGGCTCACCACCCACAGCCCACTTGGAAAACACTGGAATTGAACCTGGCACAGTGAGTGGGGAGGAGGAAAAAAATAACCAGAAAGCACTGACTCAGGGAAAAATTGACAAGTGAGCCTCAGGGCTTGTCTTTGTACGTGCCTTTGCCCAGAGTGAGACATCAGGAAGCCTTAATTGGACATGACTCCTCTCTCAGTGTGGCAGCCAAAGTGGCAATTCATCCTTAGCATGAGTCTTGGCCCCAGCCATCATCTTGCCCCCGACAGAAAAACCCTTCACCATGTCCTCCCTGCCCAGCTTCTGTCCCACGAGAGTGAATCCAGCTCTGCAGTTCCTCCCTCCACCCACAAATGCTTTTAACTCTCCTCAGATCTCCTCCTGTGATCTGTCATGGTGACATAGCACATCATGAGCCATGCAAGCAAATATTGTCCTCTAATACCCTTAAGTCCAGTTTCCAATAGACTGAAAGGAAAAAATTATGCCTATTTTGGGGGAGTGAGAATCATCTGCAATAACAATTGCAGCTGTACCTTACCTTGATATAGGCACAGGAGCTGGACTTCTTGCAGGAGTCACATTTCTCTGGGCATTATAGTAGTTTTCATAAACAACAGGAGCTAGGAAAAGATGACAGTAGTAAAATACAAGCCTCTTACAGACATAAAATTATAAAATTACAGCATTCAGCTGCCAAGTCTTTCCCCTCTCTGAGAAAATGCCTGATAGGAAACTAAAAAAATTTGAGACTATGATCTCCAGGGGCTGTCAAAAGTGGCAGAGACTAGTGCTGCAAGGCAGTGAATGAAATGCAAAATGAGTGTTTTCTTCGCACAAAATGATGCTGACCAGAGCAGCCAGCTCCATGAGGAGTACAGAGCAGTCAGCACTACTTTCTGAGATTCTACTAAGCTCTTACCTGGAGCCAAACTTCCAGTTTTGCGTAAATTTACAAAAAAATCAACATCCTTCTCAATGCTGCACATTTCTAAACTCCTGCGGATTTCCTCGTATTTCTGCAAAAGGGAAATAAAGTGCATTTGTATACATCAGGTCAAAAAAAGAAGGATTTTCCCCTTTGCTTACCACAGATAGGGTGAAAGCCCAGTACTCACAAGAGCTCCAGCATCAGGGGAATCACAGAATCCCAGAATGGTTTGGATTGGAAAGGAAATTAGAAGCCCATCCCATTCCACTCCCTGCCATAGGCAGGGACACCTTCCACTACAACAGATTGCTCCAAGCCCTGTCCAACCTGGCCTTGGACATTTCCAGGGATCCAGAGGCAAGCACAGTTTCTCTGGGCAACCTGTGCCAGGGCCTCACCACCCTCAAAAATGTGGAATTCCCAGAGGAAAACTCATTTGCAGGAGTTTTGGCCAATCCTTCTGCTCGCCCACTCATACTGGTGTCTTTGCTCAATCAAGGGCCAAGCTTAGTGCACAGGGAAACAGACTGGGCTTTGCTTTCCACACAAAAAAGGAAGGTTTTGAGTTGAGGTACCTCATCATTCTGAACACAGCCCAGGGAGAGCTGGTTGACGTGGAGCCAGAGGGCATTACGGAAATAGTTGATCCGCTCGCACTCCTGAGTCTCAAAGAACTGAAACAACACAGACAAAAACTGCCCATAATATCTTCAAAACGAGGGGAAATCTCTTTTGTCCTGATTGCTTCCCACCCCCACGTGCCACAACAAAGCTAACTGCCAGGAGCAGTTGGTGTTGATCATCTGCAGGAAGCTGAGTCCTCCAGCTTGTCCAGAGGAGAATAATCCCTCTATGCATCCAGGTGATGTACCAGGCTTGGAAAATATGCAAGACTAATGTGGAGGGCACATTTCTACCTCTGGGGAGACCAAGCCAGCTTCCTAAAGGCAGTACAGGTTCCCAAAGTGTCCTGTGCTCCTGTGATCCCAGCCCACTTCACTTACCAAGGTACCCTTAAATCCCAGAATAATTTACATTGGAAAAGCCCTCTAAGATCATCAAATCCCACCTGCACTGCCAAGGCCACCACTAACGCATTTCCCCAGGTGCCACATGTACATGGGTTTTTTGTAACATTTCCATGTTCCAGATATGGAGCAATAAAAAAAAAGAGGGGATGTATGAAAACAGAGGTGTTTCTGTTTCTTTCCTGCCTAGCCCTTTTCCAAGCAGGTTTAAACCCTTTTGAAATCTGCTGTCTGGTACACCTCAATTTCACATCTTTTTACACATTCCCATGAACACCCACACTTGTTACCACTTATGACCTTTGCAACACATGGAGAGGAAAACTGCCACATCATCCATCTGCAAAAGTGAATCTGCTGCTTTCCACTCCCCACCACAGAACCGTTAGGGTTGGAAACGCTGTCTAAGAGCATTGAGTCCAACCACTAATCCAGCACTACCAAGCCACCACTAAACTGTGTCCCCACCTTAGAGGCTTCCAGAGAAGACACCAAAAGCACACCAGCACAGAGACACCCACGCATACCACACAAAACTTCAGAAAATTCAGCTCAAATGGGAAAATTGGGATAGCAGCCTGAAGAGAGGTGTGGAAAAGGCAACAAGAGAGGTAACTTGGAAGGGATCAGCACTGCTGGGAATGGGAAAGCTGGTTGCAAGCCTGAAGCAGATCTGGGATAAAATCCATCTTTGCAGTCTCTGTCCACCCCTTAGTCACAGATTACAGGCCAGCAGCAGAGCAGCTGCTCAGCCCTCTTGCTACCAGCCTGGAATTCCCCAGAGCATGTGCTGGAAATCCCTGCTGGACCACTTCCCTGTGAGGCTGTCTGCTTCAGCTGATACACCCTCTCAGAGGGGTTCCCACACTCCTGCATGGTCTGTGAGACACCAGGCGAAGAGTTCTTGGCACAGTGTGCATGTGGAGGTGGCTTCACCTGCATCCCCAGCCACCACCAGCCTCTGCTGAAAAGTCATGCAAAGTCTTCCAGAGTTTCAGACAATCTTCTAAGCAAAAAAGATGTTGTTGAGGCTCCAGGACATACTGGCCTGGGGTTATGGAGTGTGCAGAGGTGACCACAGCTGTCCAAGATGACAGCCATGCCTCACTTGCAAGCAGGTAGTGGGCAAAAATGTCACCACCTTGACTCTGTCAATTTTAGAAGCTGGTGGAGAAAATAATAAAATGAGAGCAGAAAACTTGAAGCAATGGGGCCTTGAATCCAGAGGCCATGCTTCAGACACACATACAGGGTTAGCTGCAATACATCCTGGTGCTTCACTGCCAGGGGAATACAAAACCAGCAAATCTGCACTGTCCCTGAGCCCTGCAGCCAGGACTGCAAACCCAGAGGAACAGGCTGCCATGTGGAGGTGTTTAGGGGCATTTACCTCACAAGCTTTGATGTGCTCGTTCTGCCATTCGTCCCGGATCTTCTCCATTGTGGTCACACTCTGCTGGTAACTCCTGTCTGTGAGACAAATCATATTTTGGCTGAAGGTGCCTCTGCCCATGGCAGTGGGGTTGGAATGAGATGACCTTTAAGGTCCCTTCCAACCCAAATCATTTTATGATTCTGTGATTCCATGATTAACATTCATTAAAAAAATCCCTTCACTAGAAGGTAATTCTAGGGCTGGGAAAAAGACTGAAAAGGGTGGGAGATCAGGGATAAAACAGAAGGACATAGTTTTAGTGGGATCATGCAGGTTTCTCCAGGGACATTGCCCAATGCTGCTATCTTGGGAATGTGTTTCCAAGGAGTCATGCCTGACCCAAGAGCTGGAGTTCATCCATGAGCCACATCACAGCTTCACAACCTCCTGCTCCTCGCCCTCCCAAGGTGGCATTTCCACACTCACCAGTGTCCTCCAGTGCTGATTTCGTCTGAGCCAGCTTCAGGAACAGCTGCCAAAACCAGGAGAGACAAGGAAGGTGAAGAAGATGGCACTGCATCTCCACTGGAGAGCATCACCAGCCTCCCCATCTCACCCCAAACCCAGAGCTGGAACAAGAGCTGGGGCATGAGAGCTGCAAGAAAAGACATCCCTCTCCCAGCCACACCATAGCCTCTTGGGAAGGATGAAAGTTTGACAAGAAAGTCTCACAGATATGTATGTTTAGCAGAAAGATTTTTAAATGTAGAATCTGAAGAAGGAGTAGAGATGGAAGCAAGTTCTGATAAAGAAGAAAAGAATTGTGAGCCAGTCTTACTGGATAACCAAGGAGGCAAAGGGTGTGTTAGTTAGAAGGGGTTTTTATGACTTACAGCAAAGGATAAACTACTTCAAGCAAGAAGATGTTTTTACCAAGCAGAAAGATAGCACAGGCAAACAAGTCAGCAAATGTGGCAAGTAGAAAAAAGTTCTCAGAATTTTCCACCGCAAGAAAACTGAAAAACAACTTCTAGCTTAAACTGTAATGCACTGACTTTTAGTGACTGGAGAACAGTAACATGAATATGATAATTATAGTAGTTATGATAGGCTATAGATAATAGTTAAGGTATAGATTGGTTCTTCTGTGTTAAGATGCTCAGCAGAGAAAAGTATATGATGCATTGTAACCAAAAGAAAAATATATAATGCAATGTAACCTAAACCAAAGGGTCTCCAGGGCTGTCTGCAGCTGGAGCTGACAGCTGTAGGCACAGGCTTTGTGACCCAGAACCCTGCACTGCTCTAAAGCCTTGGATGTAATAAACTGCATTTTGGAGAGCCCCCTGGCGTCCTGCATCCCTCCTTCAGGCTCTTGCAGGGCTGAATTGAATGCCTGCCCTTACCTTCTCCTGCTGCTTCTGCGTGACCAGGTTGGCGTTGCGGTGCACGGCCTGCTCTGCCTCATCCTTGTCGCGGCAGCGCTGCTCGTACAGACGCTTGGCCTGGGACAGACACCACACACACAGATTGTTGTGGTGTGATGGAATACCTGTCCATCCTGGTTCTTTCCCCAGCTGTGCCAATAACCTCTCCCTTCCCCTCCCCTTGCCTCTTGCTGAGTGCTGTCTGTCAATCTTGGCATTCCAGCAAGGGTGTTGTGTGATTGGCGAAGTTCAAAAGATGACTCTCAGCCCTGGGGACATTGGGCTATCCAGGTGTCATTTGTCCCCTGAGACTTCCCCCCCAATACCTGGTTGGTGGGATCCCTACCACTTCCGTCCCTCTCTCTCCGGGCTAAAAGACACAAGGACCACACGGTTCCCTCAATTCTGTTGGAGCTGTTGCTGCATTCAGAGGCCTGCGTGCCAGGAATAAACCTCTGGGTTCAAACTCCCCAGTAGAACTGACTCCTTTTCCTTCACCTCACCTTAAAGCTTCTCCACCAGAGGCAAACCTGAGCTCCTGCATGCCTGGACTTGTCCCAAGCACCCAGCTGCACCATCCAGCTTAGCCAAGGTGAAACCACCACAGTGTCTCTGAGGTGAAACCACCACAGCTGCCACCTTTGGTCAAGCAGCAAGGCCAGACAAGCCCAAGGACGTTCCATCCAGCAATATTGCTATTCAATTCCAATACCAGATGTTTGATGCAGACACACCTCGGGGGGAAAAGCTCAGCCTGCAAGGGAACAGCCTGCCTGCAGAGCAGGGAATGGCAAAAAGGTGCCCTGCAGCTTGGGAGAAGCCTTGCGAGGCAAGGATTGGGGTGAAAAGCTTCTGGCAATCAAGGGCATGTCCAGGGAAGGGCTGGGGAACAGGCAGGAGCACAAGGGTGATGAGAAGCAGCTGAGGGAGCTGGGAAGAGGCTGAGCCTGGAGCAAAGGAGGCTCAGGAGAGACCCTGTGGCTCTGCACAGCTCCTTACAGGAGGGGACAGCCAGATGGGGGTTGGGCTCTGTTCCCAGAGAACAAGAGATAAGAGGAGGGGAAGTGGCCTCAAGTTGAATCAGAGGAAGTTTAGAATAAATATTCAGAGAAACTTCTTCACAGAAAGGGTTTTCATGTCCTGGAACAGGCTTCCCAGGGCAGTGGCGTAGTCACCATCCATGGAAGTGTTCAAAAAAGGTGTGGTTGTGGCCCTTGGGGAGACAGGTTAGTGGTGGGCTTGGCAGTGCTGGGCAAATGGTGGACTCAAGCATCTTAGAGGCTTTTCCAACCTGAATAATTCTCTGACTCTAAACCATTTGTATACAACCCTGCACGGCTACCACTGGCCTTGTCTTTGCTGTGCTCTTCACTTTTTCTGAGCACACCCTGCACACCACTCAGACAGACACAGCAGGGTCACAGCAGAGGAGGAAACCCCTCTCAGTTAAGCCTGTCCCAGTGCTCTGTGTGTGTGTGCATGTGTGTGTGTGTGTGTGTGCGTGTGTGGAGCATTAACCCACATGGCAAGAAACAGCAGCATTTTTGCTTTACCTCCATGGTCTTCTTGTACTGAAGATTCCTGTTTTTGTGAATGGCCTCCATTATCAGCTCTATCTGTGAAGACAACAGACCTGGGGTCAGCACGTCACTGACCATCAAAGCTCCAGGACACACTGTCTGTGGAAGAGCCACAGACCACACTGAGATGTGTTTAAAGACCTTCATCCACCCAAATCATCTTCACAGAACTCATCTTTTGTGCTTCTGCCTAAGCCTTGAATTGTAGGCAACTGTAGCCTTTGTGTATGCTAAGGAGCTCTACAAACTAAATCCCAGCAATATACAGTACTGTATCATCTCCACAGACTCTGGCAAAACTGAGAAGCCCACTCCCCTCTGCTAGGTCCAAACCAGTCCCTGGTTCTAGCAGTTTTCCCTGGTTTTCCAGACAAAACAATCTAAGCCAGAAAAAGTTAAAAGGCTTGGCCACTTTTACAGCCCCTATGGAGATCACACATCCCTATAAACAAATGTTTTAAAAACATCCCAATGCTGTGGCTGGCCCCAAAACACACACGAAGAAGATGTGGAAGTGAGAAGAAGGAAGTTGGAGGTTACTACACAGTTACAACACATAGGAAGGAGCTCAGCACTTCCCAGCAGGGGCTGGGACGTGGCAGGGGGTGGGACATGGCATGAGACATTGATCAGCCCCTTGCTGGGGCAGGATCAGCACCCTGCAGGAAGGCACATCTCCCCACCGTGCCTCACCTTTTTCCGATGCAGCTTTTGCTTTTCCCTGAAATCCTCCATCTTCTTTGCCTCCTCCCGAAGGGTTTGGGCCAGCTGGATGTGACCTTGTCCCACATTGTCTATCTCTGCAAAGAGAAAACAAATTCATTATTAATACATATATAAATTCCTAAAGAGACTGTTTCTCAAGTCAGCTTAGAGCACACCACACATCCCCTTTCAGAAATATGAAAAGCTCCAGCTTGTTTGAAGCAGCCTCCAAGCAGTGCTCACCAGTGTAAGGATCAGTCCTGCTGGGACCTGCTCTCCAGTTTGAGAAAACTCTCCCCCTCACACAGGTAAATCTGGGCATGCTTCAACACATTGCACTGGCCCAGGCCAGCAGGCAGCAGCTTGGAGCACAGAAAAATGAAGGCTAAAACAACCTCAGGCTCCTCTGGCTGAAGGCGAGGTGGCCACACTGTGAAACACCCTCAGGATCCACCAAGGGAGCAGAGCCAAATGGCAGCTCCTGATTCAGCCCCCAAAGCTGCTCCAAACCCACAGCTGTGAACTGTCAGCAGTGGTGAGGGCAGAGCCCTTTTAGGGAGGTCCACAGGGGCAGCAAAGAAACCTGGATCAGGCAGGTGATGGACTGGGCACAGGACAGCAGAGTGCTCACCCTCCAGGTGCTGTCTAATGGGACCAGGGCAGGATGTGACAGTGACAATGTACAGTGGCCAAAGCACCATCTTGTAGATGCTCCAGTTAGAATCACAGCATCATTTAGGTTGGAAAAGGCCTCTTAACAGTCTCAAGTACAACCATTCCCTCAGCACTGCCAAGGCCACCACAGACCCATGTCCCCAAGTGCCACATCCATATGGTTTTTAAATCCCTCTGCGGATGGGGACTCCCTCACTGCCCTGGGCAGCTGTGCCAGGCCTGGACAACTTTTTCCATGACAAAATTTCCCTAATATCCAATCTAAACCTACCCTGGACCAGCCTGAGGCCGTTCCCTCTGCTCCTGTCCCTGTTCCCTGGAGCACAGCCCGACCCCCCCGGCTGTCCCCTCCTGTCAGGAGCTGTGCAGAGCCACAAGGGCCCCCTGAGCCTCCTTTGCTCCAGGCTCAGCCCCTTCCCAGCTCCCTCAGCCTCTCCTGGGGCTCCAGCCCCTTCCCAGCTCTGTTCCCTGCCCTGGACACGCTCCAGCCCCTCGGTGTCTCTCTTGTGCTGAGGGCCCAGAGCTGTCCCCACGTTCAAGGTGTGAGTTACAGTGTGTTTGTGAAGAGGACAAGCCTGTCCAGCAAACTCCAGATGAGCTTCCCATGCACAGCTTCCTATGCACAACACAAACATGACCTCTGAGCTGCAGCCAGACCTGAAAGCCCAAGAGATCCCAAAATGATGCCCTGAGGGTCTCCTGTCCCACACATGTCCTGGCTCACTTTGTCCGAAGCCCCACACACTGGGATGAACCAGGCCAGCTGTTCAGCCTTTGCCTGACCTCAGCACTGCACAGCTTTAGAGATTTCTCTGCTATTTTCTTCCCAAGCAGTTGCCTTCAGGCTTTAGTGTCCTGGCAAATACAAATAATTACTTACGTTGCTTGAAAACATCAAGGGATCTCTTCAGCGTGCTGAAAAACACAGGCAGGGCATTAAAAAGGGTGGAGAAGCAGAGTCAGGCACAGGCACAGCAGAGCACCTCTTCCAAAACAGAACTCACTCAGCAATGGCCAAAGAACCTCAAAGCACATTTATTTACTCCCTTAGTACCTCCAGCTTTTTCCCCTCTCAGCAGGTACAACACAGTTCACTTGGTTTGACATCTTTCTGAATGCTGGATGCTATTAAAAATTCAAAGTTTCACAACAAATGCTTCTGGAAACCTCCTAAAACCATAATTTTGGGGCAATTTAAACATGGTTTGAAATTGTCCCAACCATTGTTGAAAACGTTTCAACCATTGCCAGCAGTTGGAAAATTAGGGAAAAATTTTCTCCCTATTAGGGAGATTATTATTCCCTATTATTCCTAAACAGGAAAAATTTTCTCCCTATTAATATTGCACAGTAAAGATGGTAAAAACATTTTAAGTGACACCTCAGTATGAAACTGTAAGTAAATGACCAGGGCGTGTATAAAGTGCAGAAATAAAGGAGGAAGCAGAACGCAGTGAGGATCACTTGGGAAATGGAGCAAGCTGTGGTGGCCACAGCATGCTGGGCTCTGAAGATGTGCATGGGAAGTACCTGTACTTCCCTGCCTGGAGGTAACCCAAGGTCTCACGATCCCCAGCCTTGTGCTGACCCACCAGCCCACATCCCCCTGAGCATCTACAGGGCCTTGGTTAATCTGTGGCTAAGGGGAACTTGGTGGGCTCCAGCTCAAAGCCAATTAGAACCCAACTGAGCACTGCTCATTCATGAGAACGATTTCAGCTCGTCTTCCGAATGTCTCAATCACGTTTCAATTCTGTTTTGTCTCACAGCTTCCTTCCTTCTCTTCCTCCTTCAGGGACACCCATAAAAGCAACTGTGAACTTACTTCAGCTCTGTCTGCCCACAGGGCTTCTTCTTCGACAAGTTAATGAGCTCCTTGCCATATTTTTCTTCTATAATTGCTCTGTTGAGGAAAAAGAGACACCACAGAGAGAAATCATCGATTGGTTTGGGATGGAAGGGACCTGAAAGCTCATCCAGTTCTGCCCTCTGCCGTGGGCAAGGACACCTTCCACTGTCCCAGGCTGCTCCAAGCCGTGTCCAACCTGACCTGGGACACTTCCAGGGATCCAGGGGCAGCCACAGCTGCTCTGGGCAAACTGTGCCAGAGAGGGTCCCACCACCCTCACAGCCAGCAATTTCTTCCCTACATCCCATCTATGTGTGGCAATAAGTACTCTCTGCACCTGGCACTAATCCTTAGGGAGAGCATCTGAAAAAGAGACCAAACCTCATGAGGTGACATAAATAACATCTTTGAGAGATCATATTATCTCCCCCTCTTGGAAGAAAGGAAGGAGGAAAAGAGAGCTCCTCTGTTGCAGTGTAAGAAAAACCAGTTCTTTGTTTTTTAAATCACTACAGACAACCAGGGCTGGAATTGCTTGGTCAAATGTAGTTCTCTCTGTGTGGCCAGCAGAAAGGAACAAGTATTGCTAGAGGCTGCCATTAAAACATCCACTGGATAAAACAAATAATTTTTTAAAATGCCTTATCTACTAACATAGATGAAGACCCCTGTGTGGTTGATTTCTGGAGTCTGGCAATGAAATTCACCTACCTTAACTCTAAAAACACCAGAAGCTAATAGGGAAATTGAAATAAAAAGGAATCATAGATTGATTTTTTTAATACACCTAGCAACATTCCCATGAACTTTGTTTGAGACAAAACATTCAGCAGGAACATTTTCCATATCTGGAACTGTGCTGGACAATTGGGCCAAGTCCAGAGAGTGGCAAATCCAGGCCCAGCCTCTGATTTCCTCCTGGCCAGACACTTCAGTGGCAGCCCACACCTCCTTGAAGGCCAAAGAGGGCACAGGGTGTAGAGGAGGCTTCTGGCACTCTGCATTGTCACTGACGAGTGAGACTTGGTTCTCAGGGTCCACTTCCTCATGTGGAAAGTACAAAATTTCCTAGAACGTGGGATTACAGCCTGAACAGATGTGGGTGCATTAGACACTTTTAAGTGCAGCTCTCCTCCTGTTCATCCCCTTTTTGTTTGTTCCAGGATGCTCTGTACTGAGTTGTGAAGTCAGAGGTTGGTTTTGTCCAGCTGTCATTACCAAAATGACATTAATTCAATGTAGCGTGTTCTACAATGCTCTTCATATTTAGCCACTGCTAACCAGGTGAGCCATAAAGGTAAAATACATCAGATTTTAGTCAGATCATCACCCGGCACAGAACCTCTGCTTATGCCATCTCCTCTGATTAATAATGGCAGCACCTAACCCTACCACTTCTCAACACTGAATCTGTGGGGAGTTCATAATGCACAAAGACAGGACAAATCCATGGCTCTCCTGGCCAAGATCTTCTAACCTGATCCTCTGCAAGGCAAACAGCAAGGTGAACTTCATGGGACAGCCTTTTATCATCAGTTAAACGTGGCAGAAACCAAACTGGGAACACCAGGAGAAGGAGCAGTGCCACAGCAGCGCTCCCAGACTCCACCCAGCCCGCGCCAGAGGCAGCTCCCTACCTTTCCTTCAGAAAGTCTTCAAACTCCTTGCAGTTCTTCCTGCCATCGTTCAGGTGCTGAATGATGCTGTCGTAGCCAACTGTGCTGGTCAGGTCCGTGCTCTGAAAATAAAGGAACAGGAGTCATGTCCCTGCCAGCACAATCCATGGACACTGCCACCTCCTGAGGCATTTGCACAGGCCATGGCTCAGGGGGAGAAAGCGTGCAAGTGCCTCTTTATGAAATAAAATATGTTATTTTTAGGGGTGGGGGAGGCTCCAGAATGAGAACAATGGTGGCAATTTGAGACAAGGTACATCTGTGCCACCCACACTTGCCATAGATTCTGAAGGGTCATTTTCTTCCAAATTATTCCTTAAAAACATATATTGCATGGATGTATGAAAAAGAAAAAGAAAAAGAAAAAGAAAAAGAAAAAGAAAAAGAAAAAGAAAAAGAAAAAGAAAAAGAAAAAGAAAAAGAAAAAGAAAAAGAAAAAGANAAAAGAAAAAGAAAAAGAAAAAGAAAAAGAAAAAGAAAAAGAAAAAGAAAAAGAAAAAGAAAAAGAAAAAGAAAAAGAAAAAGAAAAAGAAAAAGGGAAAAGGGAAAAGGGAAAAGGGAAAAGAAAAAAAATAAAAGAAAAAGGAAAAGAAAGAAAGAAAAGAAAAACCAAAAGAAAAAGAAAAAGAAGACGCAGCAATGCTGTAGGCTGACTTACTCTACTCCATTCTTTCCCCATTCCTATGCATGGCTGCAGAAAAGGGAGCAATAGCAGGAGCAGGTATGAAAACCCAGCAACAGGAAACAAAAGCCACGAGAGGTTATCAAGAAATCTGAAGAGGATTGTGGCAGGATGGAGAGATTCAAGAAATGGTTCAAAGCCAGGACGAGAGCATGCAGAGGTCTGGCATAACAGTGTGGGCAGCTGAAGAGGGGATTTCTCGAGAATTTATTCCTGGTGCAATAAAGGAGAAGGAACAGGGCTGGTATCTGTGATAAAGGAACAGTTTAATTAAGTGTAATTCCTTATTTAAGTACTTGACTGTCAGTGACCAGAAAGCAAGAAGTGAAGGGGAGATGTGGTGGAGTGGGACTGGCAGAAAATCCACAGGTATCCCAGACCAGCTTTGCATGGGAAGACAGGACTGTGGAGCAGGACCTAGGCAGAAACCAAACTTCCTTTGCAAAGTACAAATGTCCCTCCAAAATGAGGTTGGTACTGATAAACCCACAGACAGCTCTCAGGTTCACATCTTCACGAACCGAGTCTGTGAAAAGGAAACAATGCACTGAGTCAGGCTTCATCACATTTGCAAAGCACAAGATCAGCCTCTCTTGAATTCCTGTCCCCACTTTCAAAGGAAACACTAGGGATGCAGAGCACAGC